GAGAGAGAGAGAGAGAGAGAGAGAGAGAGAGAGAGAGAGAGAGAGAGAGAGAGAGAGAGAGTGGAAGCTGAGCAGGTGGGGATTGCGAGCGGGAGCCGAGGGAAGGGGGGAGGCAGTGGGAGGCAGCATGCAGTGTGTGTGTGTGTGTGTGTGTGTGTGTGTGTGTGTGTGTTGTCATATTTGCTATACACTAAAAAAAAGCATGACTGCGTCATATTTGTTATACACTAAAAAAAAGCATGACTGTGTCATATTTGCTATACACTAAAAAAAAGCATGTGTGTGTTGAGATGGACTCATTCGTAGGATGTCAAAATCAAGTATGGAGGCGGCAATTTGCAAGGAGGGTAAGAATGTTATGGAAAATGAATGGAGGGTTTGAGGATGATCTGAATAATCAATGTTGCAAAACAAAGAGGCGAAGAGGAATGTTGAAGTGAAAATAATAACGACTCGATAACAATGGTTTTGAAGGGGACAGGAGGCTGGTTAGTCTGTGTTGGAAATGAAATGTTATTTAGTTAGTACAGTGGGCCGCATATTGGGTTCCTTCTTTTTCTTTTGAATTTCTCATTCTCCCTGGGCAGCAGATGACAATGGATTTGGAGGGGGATGGTGCCTAGATAGTGTGTTGAAAATGAAATGCTACTGAATTAGTAGAGTGGGACGCATATTCGACTACGTTCTCTTTCTTTTCTTCCAATTTTTCATTTTGCCGTGGATTAGAGTCATTAGACAAAGGCATTTGTGCGGATGGGTTTCCATACCACGACAGTTGAGAAGGGCCCGCACAGCCCGTACATCCTTACTGGTAGTTTTCTATGTGATTCGAACCTATAAGATATTGTCTTTGTTTATAAGGAGTTAAACCGCCGTACCTTCTTTTTAATAAAAAAGACGAACCTGATTTTTATTATGCCGGGAAGTGGGCCCGGCATCGTTCACAAAGATCACTGCAGTTGCCTTGCGTAGCCTTGAAACACCCTGCGCGTGAAACCAAAAGAGTTGGGGCAGGGCTTTTGGCTGGTTGCGCCAGCTGTACGAATGCAGTAGGCCAACGCTTGAAACTTGCGGCTGGATGCATGCATGCCGCGTTGCAGAAAAGTGGGTGGGAAACATATTTGTGGTTTAAATACATAGAAATTGTACTGAAAAAGGGTGACGATATATTGGGAACATATATATACATGGGAAACATATTGGTGGGCTATACATGGGAACATATATATATGATACGATATTTTGTTTCCCTTTTTAAGCTTGGAAAAACTGTACGATATTCTTCTTCCAAATTCTTTTTTTGCCTTTCGCTACCTACCTACTACTACTACTCAGGCTATACGTGGGACTTTTGCAAGCATACTTAGCTAAAAAATGAAGAATTGCATGTTGCCCCCCGCTCTAACAACAGCAGTCGGGAGTACTGTGGGCTGCCAGCGGGTATCTGGCTAACCCTACATTTTGCCAGTAGTTGCGTCTCCCTTCTCATCGTCCCTCACCCCCCATCGAATAGCAGTGCTGTCCAAGGCCAACACTCTTCTACCCACCACACAACCCACTCACACTCAC